TTTAATCTGAATAATTGAAAACTTAAAATTTAACATTGTTCTGAATTGACATTTATTTGCAAACAAATACATAGATATCATTTACATTAGAGCAATGTTGATTTCTTGCAATCTACCCCTTGGAGAACTTAAAATCTTAGTCTAAACTCTTACAGATTTTATAGGCAATCATACCGTGACAACCTTTTGAAGAAATTGTCTGTGTTCATTTTGTCTAAATAAATTGTAATACTTAGGCTTAGCATTAACCTTTTATTCATTATATTCTGAGTTTCTTTCTTTTAGATTGTAATTATCCATTTACTTACATGTGGCATTTTAAAGCCTTTCACTCTCTCATGTCTAGCATGTGTCAGTGTTGATTGTGTTTGGTTGAGTGACTGACTTCTGTAAGTGCAAATTCTGACATTACTCAGCAAATGTATTGTCTGTTATGCTGTTTTTGTGTAATGACTGGATAAGCATTTACTATGTTAACTTTACTATCTAGCATAAAGCTCACTTTAAACACAAAACTAGCAAATTGGAAAAATTATTTAGGTAATAGCATTTGCTTTGAAAGATTCTCAGAACATGCTGTAGTCACATCTTATTTTAATTCTGCATTTAAAAAAACAATATTCTTTTTATTTATTTACTACAGCTCAATGTTTAGATTTTTTTTTACGCATTACGATTTTATTCACTTTTTTATTTATTTTTTATTTCAGACAAATCTCTGCAAGCATATCTGACAAACCGAGACATCTCTTTGGACAAAACTCGCCAAAGGAGCACTATCCTGTTTGATGGCAAAATTTGTATATTCATTATGGCTGCTTTACTTGTAGGAGTTTGCCTACTTTGTATGCAATTGCATATGATCATCTGCAGACCAGCTTTAAGTGAAAAAAACTACATGTCCGCATTCCCTTTTGTGAATGATGAAGAAATTAGAAAGACTTCCTTTAAGAATGTATCTCATCCAAATGGTACCAGTCAGTATTTGCCGCATATTTTAATTATCGGAGTACGCAAAGGTGGAACTAGAGCTTTGCTGGAAATGCTTAGCCTTCATTCTCACATTTCTGCTGCTGAAAGTGAAATTCATTTCTTCGACTTGGAGGATCAATACAAGAGAGGTCTAGAATGGTATCTTGATCAAATGCCTTTCTCCTATCCCCACCAGCTCACCGTGGAGAAAACACCAGCATATTTCACGTCTGATGTAGTACCTGAGCGAGTTTATAACATGAACAGTACAATAAGACTCTTGCTCATTTTAAGAGATCCCATCGAAAGAGTTTTGTCTGATTACACCCAAGTTTTTTATAATCACAAGCAAAAAAATAAATCTTATCCAGCAGTGGAGGACCTGCTTCTGAAAAATGATGAACTAAATACAGACTACAAAGCAATAAACAGAAGTTTATATCACATATTCATGGAAAACTGGCTAAAATATTTCCCTCTTAAAAACATCTACATAGTTGACGGAGATCGCTTGATCAAGGACCCCTTTCCCGAAATGCAGAAAGTAGAACGGTTCTTAAATCTTTCTCCTCAGATTAACGTGTCCAATTTTTATTTCAATAAAACGAAAGGTTTTTATTGTTTAAGGGACAGTGGGAGGGATCGATGTTTACATGAGTCCAAAGGCAGAGCTCATCCCCAAATCAAACCGTTCTTGTTGGGGAAATTACGCGACTATTTCCACGAACCAAATAAGAAATTCTTTGAACTGGTTGGACAAACCTTTGATTGGCTCTAAGATCTGAGACTTTAGGATAGAACATCCTAGTAATGCAGCTATATATTTAGAATATTAAGCTATAATTTATTTGTACATGCTTTAAAAAATAAATATATATATGTACAGCACTAGATAACTATTCCCATAAATGTATTCTATTTTTATACTTGTGAAATGTTTTTGTTATGGGTTTTAATAGTTAATAAATATGCACTCATTTTGGAATACATATAATGCACTTTGAACTTTTTTATGTCTGAAATTTCTAAAATATTAAATGCTCATTTTAAGTCTAGATTTTTTTTATTTGTATTTAACACTTGTGATGCACGTTTTTGTGTGATGTACTAACGCATGCATGTAAGGTAAGGTAAGTGAAGGGAATACAACACGGGAAACTTTTGTATACTCATACATTCCTTCATGAGCCGCCTAGAAATTACTGTTACATTAAAATAATCACACAAGTGTTTTGCCCACTATCTGAAGTATTATAATGTAGAAGCTATAGTCAGACATGCGCACTGCTCCTCACCAAAGACCCTGGGTCCATGTATGCACACCATGACAGCTAGCGCCAATCTCTCTTCTCCATAAAAGACATCACTGTAGTGATATGTAGAGGTAAGTGCTATTCACGGGTTACTTCTTACTTGCAGAGTGTGGGTAGCCAGTATGGAAGGGAAGATAGGCTTTGCGTTTAAAGATAGTATTTTATTTAAATTAACCCTCAAATTTTTTTTTTTTTCTGATCTAATAAGTAAGTCTACATCAAATAAAGGTCAGAGGAGAAATATGGTAAATAACAAAATAGTTAAAATATATATATATATATATATATTATATGACATGAAGAAAGTATACAATATACAACCACCCTACAAAAGTGTACCTCACGAACACTCCAAAATAGAACAGATATACACCCCAATAGGGGAAGTATAAAATAGGGAGTTGTGATTTACAAAGAAATACAGGAAAGATACAACCTGAAAATCAGGATAATATGGTAGTAGTGTAGAATCTAAAAATAAAGAGCTCGATAAGGTGAGATACGTTTGAGTGATATAGTAGCTCCAGCTTTAAGAGTTTAAATGATATGCGCTTGTCTCCCCTCAGGGGTATCTGGAAATGGTAGAAATCGTCCAAGCAAAGCAGATCATCAAAGGACAAAGTGCAGATAGTGTGATATTGTATAAAAATATAACAAATTTAATTCAAGGTTGCACTTGCATATAAGAAGAAACTGCAAGTTTATCTCCATTATCAAGTGAATCAAATAGAGAATCCTCCAATCCTGTGAGATAGAATGATTTGCTAAGCAATGATACAAATAAATAAAATGGACATAAAAACAAAAATATAAAAGTCTAGATAAGAACAGTTCCAGAACCAGGTGTTGCCTGTTGATCGCGGAAAATATAATAAGTTGAGGGAATAATAGGAGAGGGTAAGGTGTTAAACGGTGACTAAATATGATCTTGAAATTCGGAGACTTTATTAGGCATAGTAATTCTGTGTGTTGGCCGAGTGATGAATATAGCACTGTGTGATTGATTGTTGATGTATTCAGCGCTGTGTGACTTATAAATGATATAAATCATTATAAATGGTGCAACTAGTTCAACTTTTGCAGATTAGCCTGTCTGCTCATTTCCCTTAGAACAGTCAGAATCCACAAATATAAAAACATAAAGCATTTTCTGTTCTCTTGCTTTTTTTTTTTCTTTTTGATTTTTCTTTTACTTTTTAGATATGAAATCATGTGCCCTTTTAATATGCTGACCTATATCTGCACTGTGCACATCCCTGGATTCCTCACAAAGGACCATATTATGTGTATGTTTACCACATGTCTCACTCCCATGTAAAGCATGGTATCATATATCACAGGGGGAAAGTACAGCTACAACATGTATGGCTTTTCTGCTAACAGTACCAGCAAGATGCCAGTAGTAAGAGCAAAGGTTCATCTAAAAACTACATTTACAAAATTTAGGCCAAAATAGGAGGAATGGAAAATGATCCACTAAGCATACATATTGCAAATGTGGCTTCTAGATTCTACCAGTATTCTAAACTTCAGTTTTAATGCCACTTCTGCCATCATATTGCACAAATCCCAAACTTTTCCATAATACCATAATCCTTAATTCCTAGTTTTATCATACTCCTCTGTTACCGATGCTATCTCTGTTTTATACTCCTAATCTGTCCTTTCCTAACTGTATGCACAAAATCCCATACCCTAGTTTGCACCCAATGTGTTTCCATGCCTCCTATGAACCCACAAACCACCAGTCTCTCTTTTACCAACCTGTATCATAAAGAATTGAGGTAATAGGGTATATGCATAGCAATCGCTATTCTCCAATACTTTTCATAGAAAGGCATTAATTTCAATGCTGCAGGATTAAGGCGTTCTGCACCCCCCAATTTTTTTTAGATATTTTTTTTTTTTTTAATTAAAATAGATTGATAGGAAAAAGATGATGAGGGATGCTTAACCCCTTAAGGACCAAACTTCTGGAATAAAAGGGAATCATGACATGTCACACATATCATGTGTCCTTAAGGGGTTAAAGCCTGCCCCACATTTTTTGAGTATTCATGGATCATGAAGCTACTTTAAACAAGAAGTTTAAAAAGATGCATGCTTATTTATAGTAATAGATGTGGCAATATGCATATGAGGAAAATACCTAATGAAATGCAAATGGAAGACTTCCAAGGTTATATTTAAACTCACCTAGCTACAAAGGTTGAAGAGACAGGTAAACATGGCATAGGGAATTCTTCATTGTGAAGAACTGGATTGCTTTAAAGTTAAAGTTCTTTAGGCATCATCATAACACTTTAAATTTTGTTAAAAAGAAGGAAAGAAACACAATCAAGTGACTTTTCACTTATTTTAGAAATATGAAAGATAACTAAATATAGTGTAAATAATCTGCAATTGTTATCTAAAACCCATGAATGTTATCTAAACTAGAGACCCCCAATAATTTGGTCCTCTTTGTCCCCCTAGTCTAATTTCAAGAAATGACTCCTAGAACTAGCTACTATTTGCTCTAGTAAATGTGAGTGACCTACCACTATAAACTATCAGGGTTATTTACTTTAGTTAAAAATGTAAAGTGAATTTGAAAGATAAAGGACCACTACAAGCACCCAAACCACTCTATCTCAATGAGGTGATCTATGTGCAGTAATCCTTTAGTTTAGTAGATAAGGCAATGTTTACATTAAAGGGTTAAACTAATGTTTTTAATAAACCTTCCAACATATACCCCCTAATTTATGAATATACATTTTCACAGTAAAATGCTCCACTTGTTATCTCTTTTATCACATCCCTATTTGAGAAACAAAATTATGGCTATTACCATTCAAAATAATACTAAGAAGAAAAATACTTTTAATGTCTTACACCAGAAGGGTACCTTTTGGTTTTCATTACTTTTCAGTATGTTCTGTTTTTTTGATGGCATGCTTTAAACTATGAGCTACGTCACTAGTTTATTTAGCTGTAATAATAGAGGAGATTTCCTAGCAATGCCACGCAAAGACTTAACGTGCAGCTTTTTATAAAAAACATATGTCCAGGATATTTCTTCACAACACATCACACAATGCTTTCAGGAAAAATACAGTAATGAAACCATCCCTTAATCATTTTTGCTAATTAATAAATACTGAGAGGTATATCCAATATTGTTAATGGTAATATATATATAATATATATATATATATATATATATATATATATATTTGTAGTCGGGGACATAAGCCGTGAAGTGTAATGATTATACCAGAATATGGAAGTCGGTTGTGGTGTGCCGAAACCGACGTATGGGGTAGGCCTGTAATAAAAGAGGGCAAAAAGGTTGGAGTAAACAATTCACTTTATTATACATGATTACATAGCAAGACCTTTGAATGCAGACCTTAGTTCTATTTCTGGTTGTGGAATGTAAGTGGCGTAGACCGCAGACTTCCATCGGCCTAATCTTTTAATTATGTGAGAGGGTACATTGTGACTTGAGGCTGCTGAAGCAGCTCCAATTCTGAACGAGTGACCAGAAAACCCTGTAGGGTTGAGGCCGAGTCGGATGAACAAGGTTCTGACGTACTGAATGAACTTGGCAGTTGTTAAGGGGAAACCTTGTAATGATAGTAGTGGGGCGTTTTGACTGAGACCTGAGAGAGTAGCCAAGAAAGTGTCAAATACTACAACGGGGCACCACTGATTGCCGGTGGGATAGTAGCAGATCTTGGTAGGTGGGCCTATTTGATTGGTTTTAGTGTGACCTAGGGTGAGTATGTAGTGATCTGTGTGTTTCTGGAGATTTGTAATTTTGAGGGGTTGATTTTGACACGAACCACTATTGGTGGTGAACTCGTTTGGTCGTAAAAACCCATAGAAAGCTAGGTAAGTCGCTGTCTTAATCACTAGGTTGGTATGGGTTTCAAAAGGTTTGGAGTCCAAGATATTGGAGAGTGCGCGAAACTTGGGACCGTCTATGGGAAGTCTGGCAGAGGTAGTGGGTGAGTCTAATCTCAGTATGCCTTTTAATATGTTTTTCACGGGGTAGGAAGACATGAAGGGTTTAGAACTAGGGTAGGCACTGATGATATGATGTTGTATACCCGAGAGATATAGTTTAATGGTGTTCAATGATAATTTTAGGTTAAGGTGGCAGAAAGAAATAAATGCAATAATGGAATCTAGAGAATGAGTGTCAGTTATCTGATGTTGTGTCGTGAATTTGGTGTATATGGTAAAAGCTCGATTGTATGCACGAGATGTGTTTGTGGATAGGGCTGCTCCGGCTAGATATCTGCTGTGAGATAGCAGTCTATCTAGTCCAGGATGAGGTCTTGGAATGGAGGGGTGCTGACCGGTCTGGAGTTGGCTGTGGGGTGTGTCCTGAAGAAGACCTGTAAGTTAAATCGAGACAATGCATCAGCGGCTGTGTTGGTGTTTCCTGGAATGTGGATGCATGTGATGTGAAACTGTAGTGTTGCCGCTAACCAAGTTAGCCTTCGGATCAATTTCATGATGGTGAGTGAGGAGGATCTACCCTTGTTGATTATGTCACAGGCTGGTTTGTTGTCGGAAAAGCATTTTACTGCTTTCCCCCGCCATAAGTGTCCCCATACTCTGGCGGCTGCAACAATCGGGTAGATCTCGAATAGGGCAGATGTAGTGGGAAATGAGGGCAAACCTAGGGTTTCTACTGGCCATGAATCTCTGAACCAGTCATTGCGATAGATTGCTGCAAACCCAGTGTGAGCTGCTGCATCCGTCCAGATGACAGGTGAGGAATCTGATAAAGGAGTGATAAACATGGCTTTCCCATTCCAATGAGTTAGGAACCGTAGCCACATGAGTAGATCTGCCTTGGCGTGAGCATCTAGTGATAACATGCTGGAGTCAGTATTGAGTAACGGGAGAAGGCACAACAATCTTGAGATGAACGCCCAGCCTTGAGGAATAATTTTCATGGCGAAGTTCAGCGTGCCCAATAAGGATTGTAGGTCTGACCTGGTACACGTGTCCTTCACCAGAAAATACTCTACCATTTCAATGATATGTTGCACCTTCTCCCGTGGTAGACTAGCCTGTAATGTGACGGTGTCTAGGTGAATACCCAAGAACGTAAGTTTTGTGGTAGGGCCTATTGTCTTTGATGGAGACAGTGGAACCCCCAATGTTGAAAATAGGGCCAAGGTCTTCTGGAGACTAACTGGTGAGGATTGAGGTGATTCTATCGTAAGGAAGTCATCCAGGTAGTGCAGAACTGCGGGACAGTGAGTGATATTGAGGAGTAGCCAGCATAGTGTGTCAGCAAATATGTCGAATAATTTCGGGCTACTTTTTGCTCCGAAGGTAAGGCGGGTGGCAAAGTAGTAATTGTTTTCCCATTTGATGCCGTGCACATGCCACAGGGATGGGTGGATTGGTAAGAGCTTAAAAGCGTTGGAAATATCGGTTTTCCCCAACCAAGCTCCCGCACCTGCCCTAAGAATGGATTGAATGGCATTGTCTACAGAGGTATATTGCAGGGAAAACTCTTCTGAAGGTATCAATGAATTGATGCTGGGGGTAGCTAAAGAATGAGGAGCGGACAAGTCGTAAATAAGTCTTTTTTTATTGTTGAACTTCCCAGTGGCGATACCTATAGGGTTGGTACGCCAGCTGGTGAACGGAGGGTGAGCGAAGGGGCCCACGATAAACCCGTTAGTCAGTTCGGTCTTGAGCAGTGACTGTGTGGAGATTGGGTCAAGGATAGCTGACTGTAAGTTGGGACATTCGAGAATACCTGTGGGAAGTGTGACTAGACCCGTGTGGAAACCCTCAGTGAAACCTTGAATGAGGAAGTTGACTAAGTGAAGGGAAGGGTGTGCCTGGAGGTAAAATGTCAGGTTGTCGATGCTAACTTCGGTTAGTCATTGTTTTGGGTACAGACGATTGGGGCACATAGTTTTTGCATGTGCCCTGAAGCAAATTGAGCAGACGTGCAGCAGTCTGCATGAGCTAAACCCACAACTTCCTGAATTGAAGTTGTTGCAGATCTGTGCTTTCCCAAGGTATACTATGGGTCTACCCAGTTTGTCCTTCAATCCTCTGTGTTCTGCTGTGGCGGAACCGAAGGTAGCACGACTAGTGGTAGGAAGGTTAGGCTCGACTGGGCACAAGTTGGTGGAGTGGGAGATGGAGGCGCACAGGGCACAGGATGGAGGTTTTTGGCCAGCGAAATGGTGGCAAAAAACTCCTGTATCCAGGTTACTCCAGTTGGTATGAGTGTTAAATTGAGTTAGGGATGCTGCCGCCTTGGCCGAAAAGGATTTATGATAATCATAGAAGGAAAAACCCCCATACTTATGCCCTAGGTCCACCAACTTGTGCATGTACAAGTCCAATTCCTCCCTACGGTGCGGGGATGTGGAACAGATTACGTCACGGTAGAGGCGAATTCAGGTATGGTGAGTTTCCGGTTGAGCCTGGGATCTCTGGCTTTTAGCACAACCGAAAGATCACCGTAGCAGTATGCCTTGTTTTCCACTATATCTTGTGATGCGATCAGCAGAGATACAAGGTTTACGTCCTTGCCTTCTAGAATGTCTTTGCGTATTGTCGGGGGTACAAAATGTGCAGGTGTGATGATGTGGGTGGATGTGCTTGGTATAGGGTTAAAGGGAGTGTCATTACCGTGAGGGAGGAGAGACGAAGTGAGGGTTGGTATGGGTGAGGTGACTGTCGTCATCTGCGGGGTTTCTAGCTTATCCAGCCTAGCGCTGATTGTGGTAATTGAGGCCAAGAGGGATGACATCAGACCCTTGATCTCGTTGTAGTTTTCCGAATGCAGAACTACTCCTGGTTGGGGAGTACACGTGTTAGATATGAAAAGTTTGTAAAGTTCGGCTTTGCGGGCTGTAGCTGGAAACGGGACCCCCATGCGACGTAATTCGGCTGCGAGCTTGGGGATGGTCCATGACCTGAGAGCGTATGGGCTGGCTGATTCTAGGTTTTCAGTGGGTGTGCTTGGGCCCGCCGGGGTTGCAGGTCTGGTTGGGGTTTCAGGTATGGCCAGCTCTTCTTCTTGGTCATGGGATTGAGACATACTAAAATTAAAAACAGGGTAAGAGACGGAGTTTGATAATGAGCGAAGTTGCCTGAGTCAACTGGTGCTAGCTATGCCCATAGGCGAAACATTAACTATTCTATAAGGAAGGTGAGGCCCTGCTAGTGCCAAGTGGCGAGAGAGGCTCTATCTATGCGGAGGGCCGGTTGGACGGGGACCACTTTAATGATGTGGCGGGAACGTTGGCCTCTCGGTGACTGTAACAAGAAAAAGGATTAAATTGGCTGTGACTGGTGAGGCCCTAACTAGTAACCAAGGGTGGTTTTCGTGAGGCTCTATCTATGCGTTGGGCCGAGGGGCGTATACCTCCGATGAGGATTGGTGTTGGCCTCCAGGAATCGTTTAATTTACAATATGTTAGCTAGGGGCCGTACTCTAAAATCACCAGTTGACCACCCTGTTTTTTTTGTTGTTTTTTTTTGTTTTTTGCGTCGGGGGGAGTAATAGTGGTGTGACCGTACCTATTTGTTTGACGTACGAGATTCGACGTAGAATTTGGAGGATATTTTTTTTTTTTGGAGTCTGTGGAATAAAACAGGTGGTTAAGGGCGGCTAAACTGGTTCGGGATTTGAACGTAAAATATATATTTTTTTTTTTACCTGGTGATGCTGTTAATAATGGTGCTGTCTAGATGATAGCTTGAACGCCAGTTGGGGTAATAATTTGAGGAAAAGCTAAAGTTATCTCTTGTATTCCCTTAGATATACATACAGGCTTAAGGACAAAGTGAAGCGTAAATTTATAAATCTAATACCTGCAGTAAGCTAGGGATGGGTGTCCGATGCTAGTTCCAAGTATCAGGGAAGGTGTTGAAAATGGATTTTTTTAGATGAACCAGAGATGAATCCTGAGGAGATGGCGTAAGGAGTTAAGTAATGAACCTCATATGAAGAACATGGCAATGGACAGGACAACCTCTTGTATGGGGTAGATTATTTCTTACCGTATGATCAAAGACGGAGTGTGTCTTTGACAGGTATATGTCTGATGAGGTTCAGGTGTTGCCGTTAGACTGGGTAAGGTTTTAGAAAATACCTGTATAGGTGACAGGTAACGAATATAAGCGTAGGTAATGTTGGCAAATAAAACATGAGTGACAGAATTTATGGTATTCAGTGTATTGTCGTTTTTTGTTTTTTTTTCCAACGGGAGAAATAGGAACAGACACTATTAAAAGCATAACATTGTGTAAAATATGTATTGCCGTCTGGCGTCGTTCTGAGCAGCCGATGTGTACCAGAAAACAGAAACATATAACATTTCAAAGAGCAGAAGTATATATACAATTGTGTTTGTTTTTTTTTTCCACCAGGGGGTGTCGTGAGCAGCCATGCGTATTATTAGTATAGAGGAAGGGAAAAAAAAAAAATTTAAGTTCAGCCGGGTGGCCCGTTTACCGACCAGCGTTGGAGGGTAAGTGCCAGGGGGAGAATGTGCCTGTGGAGTGCGGTACCGAACGAAGCTTGGAGCGGTAAGGTAAGTATAAATAACAGTCCTTAGTGACAGGTGTGTAAAGCGTGAATGGACGCCAGGCGTCTGGCTGAGAGTGGTGTGGATGAGACTCACGGTTCTGGGACCCTGGAGTAGGTAAGTATGTTTCCTGCTCCTGAAAACCGCCGTGGGTATGGCTGAGGAGGATGGGAGTTCGCCGGAACCCCGACAGTAAGCTGGACTGGAGCGCTTGGTGCCGGGCACGGAGACTGCCGGGCTTGTACCGAACTGGGTTAGCAGGGGGCACTTCGACTGGAGCAGACCACGTGGGAGCGATATGCCGGTGAGTTTGAACCGGAAGTTCAAAGGTTCTGAATGAACCCAGCGATTCCAGTATAGGTTTGGCTGGGGCCTGAGCTTTTATAGCCGGGTAACCCCTCCCACAATTCCAGGCTACGCCTTACTATATATATATAATAATCCACAATGTCCTTGCACTCTTGCTTCAAAATAATTAAACCGGGTGCTTGAAGTCTGGGGAGATTGCACATACCAGTAGAGAAGATGACCAGCACTCACGGATTCCAATAGTAGTTAAAAGTTATAAATTTATTAATCCATCTTTAAAAAGCTGCTCAACGTTTCAGTCCACGTTTGGGACTTTCATCAGGAATATGTTCCTGATGAAAGTCCCAAACGTGGACTGAAACATTGTAGGTCTGACCTGGTACACGTGTCCTTCACCAGAAAATACTCTACCATTTCAATGATATGTTGCACCTTCTCCCGTGGTAGACTAGCCTGTAATGTGACGGTGTCTAGGTGAATACCCAAGAACGTAAGTTTTGTGGTAGGGCCTATTGTCTTTGATGGAGACAGTGGAACCCCCAATGTTGAAAATAGGGCCAAGGTCTTCTGGAGACTAACTGGTGAGGATTGAGGTGATTCTATCGTAAGGAAGTCATCCAGGTAGTGCAGAACTGCGGGACAGTGAGTGATATTGAGGAGTAGCCAGCATAGTGTGTCAGCAAATATGTCGAATAATTTCGGGCTACTTTTTGCTCCGAAGGTAAGGCGGGTGGCAAAGTAGTAATTGTTTTCCCATTTGATGCCGTGCACATGCCACAGGGATGGGTGGATTGGTAAGAGCTTAAAAGCGTTGGAAATATCGGTTTTCCCCAACCAAGCTCCCGCACCTGCCCTAAGAATGGATTGAATGGCATTGTCTACAGAGGTATATTGCAGGGAAAACTCTTCTGAAGGTATCAATGAATTGATGCTGGGGGTAGCTAAAGAATGAGGAGCGGACAAGTCGTAAATAAGTCTTTTTTTATTGTTGAACTTCCCAGTGGCGATACCTATAGGGTTGGTACGCCAGCTGGTGAACGGAGGGTGAGCGAAGGGGCCCATGATAAACCCGTTAGTCAGTTCGGTCTTGAGCAGTGACTGTGTGGAGATTGGGTCAAGGATAGCTGACTGTAAGTTGGGACATTCGAGAATACCTGTGGGAAGTGTGACTAGACCCGTGTGGAAACCCTCAGTGAAACCTTGAATGAGGAAGTTGACTAAGTGAAGGGAAGGGTGTGCCTGGAGGTAAAATGTCAGGTTGTCGATGCTAACTTCGGTTAGTCATTGTTTTGGGTACAGACGATTGGGGCACATAGTTTTTGCATGTGCCCTGAAGCAAATTGAGCAGACGTGCAGCAGTCTGCATGAGCTAAACCCACAACTTCCTGAATTGAAGTTGTTGCAGATCTGTGCTTTCCCAAGGTATACTATGGGTCTACCCAGTTTGTCCTTCAATCCTCTGTGTTCTGCTGTGGCGGAACCGAAGGTAGCACGACTAGTGGTAGGAAGGTTAGGCTCGACTGGGCACAAGTTGGTGGAGTGTGAGATGGAGGCGCACAGGGCACAGGATGGAGGTTTTTGGCCAGCGAAATGGCGGCAAAAAAGTTCTGTATCCAGGTTACTCCAGTTGGTATGAGTGTTAAATTGAGTTAGGGATGCTGCCGCCTTGGCCGAAAAGGATTTATGATAATCATAGAAGGAAAAACCCCCATACTTATGCCCTAGGTCCACCAACTTGTGCATGTACAAGTCCAATTCCTCCCTACGGTGCGGGGATGTGGAACAGATTACGTCACGGTAGAGGCCGAAGGCAAGGACGAATTCAGGTATGGTGAGTTTCCGGTTGAGCCTGGGATCTCTGGCTTTTAGCACAACCGAAAGATCACCGTAGCAGTATGCCTTGTTTTCCACTATATCTTGTGATGCGATCAGCAGAGATACAAGGTTTACGTCCTTGCCTTCTAGAATGTCTTTGCGTATTGTCGGGGGTACAAAATGTGCAGGTGTGATGATGTGGGTGGATGTGCTTGGTATAGGGTTAAAGGGAGTGTCATTACCGTGAGGGAGGAGAGACGAAGTGAGGGTTGGTATGGGTGAGGTGACTGTCGTCATCCGCGGGGTTTCTAGCTTATCCAGCCTAGCGCTGATTGTGGTAATTGAGGCCAAGAGGGATGACATCAGACCCTTGATCTCGTTGTAGTTTTCCGAATGCAGAACTACTCCTGGTTGGGGAGTACACGTGTTAGATATGAAAAGTTTGTAAAGTTCGGCTTTACGGGACCCCCATGCGACGTAATTCGGCTGCGAGCTTGGGGATGGTCCATGACCTGAGAGCGTATGGGCTGGCTGATTCTAGGTTTTCAGTGGGTGTGCTTGGGCCCGCCGGGGTTGCAGGTCTGGTTGGGGTTTCAGGTATGGCCAGCTCTTCTTCTTGGTCATGGGATTGAGACATACTAAAATTAAAAACAGGGTAAGAGACGGAGTTTGATAATGAGCGAAGTTGCCTGAGTCAACTGGTGCTAGCTATGCCCATAGGCGAAACATTAACTATTCTATAAGGAAGGTGAGGCCCTGCTAGTGCCAAGTGGCGAGAGAGGCTCTATCTATGCGGAGGGCCGGTTGGACGGGGACCACTTTAATGATGTGGCGGGAACGTTGGCCTCTCGGTGACTGTAACAAGAAAAAGGATTAAATTGGCTGTGACTGGTGAGGCCCTAACTAGTAACCAAGGGTGGTTTTCGTGAGGCTCTATCTATGCGTTGGGCCGAGGGGCGTATACCTCCGATGAGGATGGGTGTTGGCCTCCAGGAATCGTTTAATTTACAATATGTTAGCTAGGGGCCGAACTCTAAAATCACCAGTTGACCACCCTGTTTTTTTTGTTGTTTTTTTTTGTTTTTTGCGTCGGGGGGAGTAATAGTGGTGTGACCGTACCTATTTGTTTGACGTACGAGATTCGACGTAGAATTTGGAGGATATTTTTTTTTTTTGGAGTCTGTGGAATAAAACAGGTGGTTAAGGGCGGCTAAACTGGTTCGGGATTTGAACGTAAAATATATATTTTTTTTTTTACCTGGTGATGCTGTTAATAATGGTGCTGTCTAGATGATAGCTTGAACGCCAGTTGGGGTAATAATCTGAGGAAAAGCTAAAGTTATCTCTTGTATTCCCTTAGATATACATACAGGCTTAAGGACAAAGTGAAGCGTAAATTTATAAATCTAATACCTGCAGTAGGCTAGGGATGGGTGTCCGATGCTAGTTCCAAGTATCAGGGAAGGTGTTGAAAATGGATTTTTTTAGATGAACCAGAGATGAATCCTGAGGAGATGGCGTAAGGAGTTAAGTAATGAACCTCATATGAAGAACATGGCAATGGACAGGACAACCTCTTGTATGGGGTAGATTATTTCTTACCGTATGATCAAAGACGGAGTGTGTCTTTGACAGGTATATGTCTGATGAGGTTCAGGTGTTGCCGTTAGACTGGGTAAGTTTTTAGAAAATACCTGTATAGGTGACAGGTAACGAATATAAGCGTAGGTAATGTTGGCAAATAAAACATGAGTGACAGAATTTATGGTATTCAGTGTATTGTCGTTTTTTGTTTTTTTTTCCAACGGGAGAAATAGGAACAGACACTATTAAAAGCATAACATTGTGTAAAATATGTATTGCCGTCTGGCGTCGTTCTGAGCAGCCGATGTGTACCAGAAAACAGAAACATATAACATTTCAAAGAGCAGAAGTATATATACAATTGTGTTTGTTTTTTTTTTCCACCAGGGGGTGTCGTGAGCAGCCATGCGTATTATTAGTATAGAGGAAGGGAAAAAAAAAAAATTTAAGTTCAGCCGGGTGGCCGTTTACCGACCAGCGTTGGAGGGTAAGTGCCAGGGGGAGAATGTGCCTGTGGAGTGCGGTACCGAACGAAGCTTGGAGCGGTAAGGTAAGTATAAATAACAGTCCTTAGTGACAGGTGTGTAAAGCGTGAATGGACGCCAGGCGTCTGGCTGAGAGTGGTGTGGATGAGACTCACGGTTCTGGGACCCTGGAGTAGGTAAGTATGTTTCCTGCTCCTGAAAACCGCCGTGGGTATGGCTGAGGAGGATGGGAGTTCGCCGGAACCCCGACAGTAAGCTGGACTGGAGCGCTTGGTGCCGGGCACGGAGACTGCCGGGCTTGTACCGAACTGGGTTAGCAGGGGGCACTTCGACTGGAGCAGACCACGTGGGAGCGATATGCCGGTGAGTTTGAACCGGAAGTTCAAAGGTTCTGAATGAACCCAGCGATTCCAGTATAGGTTTGGCTGGGGCCTGAGCTTTTATAGCCGGGTAACCCCTCCCACAATTCCAGGCTACGCCTTACTATATATATATAATAATCCACAATGTCCTTGCACTCTTGCTTCAAAATAATTAAACCGGGTGCTTGAAGTCTGGGGAGATTGCACATACCAGTAGAGAAGATGACCAGCACTCACGGATTCCAATAGTAGTTAAAAGTTATAAATTTATTAATCCATCTTTAAAAAGCTGCTCAACGTTTCAGTCCACGTTTGGGACTTTCATCAGGAATATGTTCCTGATGAAAGTCCCAAACGTGGACTGAAACATTGAGCAGCTTTTTAAAGATGGATTAATAAATTTATAACTTTTAACTACTTATTGGAATCCGTGAGTGCTGGTCATCTTCTCTACTGGTGTGTATATATATATATATATATATATATATATATATATATATATATATATATATATATATATATATTGTGACAAAAGTACTCTTTTCCCTTGGTACCTTGTCCTGGGATTGGGGTGTTACACACAGTCTTTTCAGGCTTTAGAGACACTTCACACGCTGGATGAGGTAAACTGACTTGCTCTTTTATTGAGGTTCCAAAATAAATGCACAGTAAGGTATAAAGGTAACAAAAATATATCAAACAAAAGCCTTGCTCTTCTGAGCACTAACTAAACAAAATAATCAGCTAACTGGGTTGGATGGCTTGTCCATTTCCCAACATAAACATAAACATAAACAGCCTTACTGCTTCAGGGTTTTCAGCTCTCTGTTTCCACTCACAAACACAATCTCCCTTCTTCCTTGGCAGGGGAGTACTTAATAGCACTGGTAATTGACAATCCTTTTCAGGTGAGTTAGATTAGGATTCAAACTCCAGAACTGGACTTCTCACCAAGCAACTTCCAAAATGTGGAGTGGAGCACTGGCCCACCCTACTCTCCAGGTGCTCCACCCCAGGGCCCAAATATACACATATTTAAAGTGCAACATTCATTAGAACATAACACATTTCCCTAGGGCTAATTACACAAAGTAAGAACCTTGCAAAATCTGGGGAGGTATATAGGTTCCTTCCAGCACAATTCCTTGCTTTCTGTCACTATATATATATATATATATATATATATATATATATATATATACATCCACAAACTACAGGTGGAAGGGGTTTTCAATCACAATTTTTCCCCACCATAACCTTTTTGATTTTTATATATATATATATATATATATATATATATATATATATATATACACACGCACATATTTTTTTTTATTCTTTATTTTTGAAAGTGGTGCATCAAGTTACAACAGGAAGAGGCTCAAAAAGCCTAAATGACCACATTTTTTCTTTTGTTGTGTTAGAGCAAGTGGCTACGTAACATTTTGATATAAAAGATAACAGAAGGGGCCATGTAAAGGGCGGCATGTAGATGCCAAACATTTAGCAGAGTAAAGCGGTATAAAGACAGTAAAGCTCAGTCAGCGTGCGCTATCCAAAAATAAGGGTAGGTTGGCACTAGGGTACATGTCTTATATCAAAGCAGGAGGGAGAGATAGAGGGGGATTGTTTGCCAAACTAAGGCAGTCCAACAGCATACAGAGCCAAGTTAACATGTATGATTGGAGGTATAAAGGAGTGCTGCTCAAACTACATCATGGAGGAAGTGTCTTCATCACAGACGTGCCAGGTGTCGGCACAAAAGGCATTATAGTGCGTACATTACAGCAGCGGCGCTCCTTTGGTGGCAGTAAGTCATCAACGATACCCATCATCTGCAGAGTAGGAGCATCAGCCATAGACAAGATGGTGAAGGTCTTGCCATTCCGGTCCACCAGCAGCTGCTGGGGTCCCCATTTGTAGGTGATGTCTTTATCTTTCAGAAGCATAGTCAGTGAGCGAAAGGACTGTCGCTATAGAACCATTTGCCTGGAGAAGTCCCTGAAGAAGGTTAGTTGCGACCCCTCAAACAGGGTGGGGGAGTTTCCTGCAGCACCCATCAGCATTGCTCTGTCCGAGTCCCTCAGGAACCTTGCCAGCACATCTCTGGGAGCCTCCTGTGGTGCCCTTGGTGTCTTGGGCATCCTGAAACAGCTGTCGAGGGTGAGCAACTTGGCCTGCCTGGGCAGTAACAGGGTAGAGAAGAGTCGGCGGAGGTAGTGTGGAAGCTCCCCATTATTGATGCTCTCTGGCACCCCCCTCCCACTGGCACCACACCATTCTGGCCCTATCCTCTAGTGCTGTGACTCGGACAATCAGTGCAGCTTGGATTTTCTGCATTGTAGTGAGAGCGGAATCAGTGGCCATTTGAGACACTTTGGTAGCCCCTAAATCTTCATCAACGGCAGTTATGCGGCCTGTAAGGTTGGTCACCTCCTCCCTGAGCACTGCTATGTCTGATTGGAGCATCGCTTGCATGTCCTTTAGGCGAGCCTTGATGTCAGCTTTAGTGGGGGGTGCATCATCACTTGGGGTGGGGAGCTGTGGTGGACTGACCCGTTTGCTGGAAAGCGTGGGCAGATCTTCATCCGAACTAAATTCTTCCAAGGACTCGTCGAGTATGTCAGAACGGGCGCCATCTTGATCAGGGTAGGCCTTTGAGTTTGGCGGAGCAGCTCTCCAATATCTCAGGACACAGACCCGGGATCCGGCCTCTGTTTTTTGTTTTATTTCCACATACTCTGTAGGGGAGGATTGTCTGCTTAATGTGCTGGAGTGCTGTCTCACTGGGAAAGGCCGTTTTGAGACACGCGATGCGGAGCTCGAGGCAAACGTTCTGTCTTCGTTGGGCGCTGGCTCCGCCACCAAAAAGGACAGAAATTTTCTAAATTATATATTCAGAGTTGCAAAAGTTAGAAACCAAAATCAAATAATGGAACACTTTCGTGACTGAGCTCTTTACAAATAACAGTGAGTTCCTGGCCTTTTCGGCACTTTGCTATATGTTCCTTCCACTGTAATTCAACACTATGTCCATATAGATATGGCTTTCTCCTGATACCTTATATGTATGTATTGCAGCACATTATATATGTATAAAATATTTAAAAAAAATAAATAATAATAAAGTTATTGTGTAGAGTTGGACATTCCCATCATTTTGACATGCTTCTTTGCTTGCTTCCCAAATAAGCTGTTAAAGCGACGCTATCAGTTTCACCATAGGACAAGTGAGTCACACTTTGATGCTAGTTGTAACCATATATAACTCTGACTCTATCTTACCTTAATCCTAACTATGTCTAAAATAACCCTGACTAACACTAACCAGCTCAAACCATGACCCTAGTTAACTCTTGCTAGCCCTAACCCAAACCTTAATGAACCCTACTAGCCATCCTAACGAGCCCCTCCATTAAACCCAATCTTGCACTGTTTAGTAGAGCAGCTCCTGATTGGGATATTGCCCTAGAAGAGGCTCTGAAAGACTACTGCTGGATGTCTAAACTGCTTGAGACGTCCATCAATAGCCTGGTATATGCCATGGTTGCATTTGGTATTCCACTATTACGGCTGGCATCTGTTTGCTTTGACATCGTGGTTCAGGTCTGTTACTTGACTTCCTTTGTTGTCAGGAGTTCAGCAGTAACTAGGTTTTGCTGCATTTGGCAAGATCTGAGCTTTGGTTGCTATTCCAATGGACTCTGCATTCTGTATGCCATAGCTAAGTGCATTAGTGGCAACAAAGTGCATGGTAAGGTTCTATCACAAAGGGATTAGCTAAGTAAAATATTAGGATCAATTTGATAGGCTACATAGCATATTGCAAATGTATTTCTTCAGAACATAGAATTACATATAATAATAACTGAGGAGCAGACTGAAAATCCCTTTTATTGCAATCTTGCATCAGGCTGTAACACTTCCCTTATCTTTATGAATAGTGATAATGTTCTTTTTTTATATTCTGGTTTAGCCTACTAACTGAAGGAAAAAAAAGCAAATGAGAACTCTGAGAACTGACAACAGTTTTATTAGCCTCCTCTTTCGGTGGGTCCCCTTTCAGGTATCTTATATATGTTTTAGCTCACTTGTGTCATTACAGATTAACCTTAGCCAGTCACATATCAGACTGATCCCACTCACAAGGACAATCCAGATCCTAAATACCAACAGACACCCTCTGCAAACATTCCGGTCTGGGGGGGAGGACAATAGGCCCTCACCTTTATTGTAATTTAGTTCCCCCATCCAACGCTCATGGGTTGGGGTCAGGGGGGAGGCCAATAGGTTCCCCCCCTATTTTTATTTAGGGCCCCTACCCGCTGTTAATGGGTGGGGACCAGGGGGGAGGACAATAGGTCTCCCCCCCTTCATTTTTATTTAGGGCCCCCACCCACCGCTCATGGGCCAAGGCAGACAATATGTCACCCATTTACTTGAACATCCCCCACTCGTGGGGCATGGGTAGAGGTTTGGGGGGGACACTATGCCCCCCCACTAGTTAATAGATGCCCCACTATAAGGCCATTTGTTAGAGGGGGGCTTTTGTTTTTTTTCAATAGAGAGCAGCCACTGGCTGCTCACTGTTTAGTAGACATGCCCCTACTCATGGTAGGGTAATTCGGGAGTTTTTAATCTCCCTTATGCTATTATGGAGGACATATTGACCCCCATAGAGTGAGGGAGGACAAGAGAGGCGTCGGAAGTGGCGGGGAGCACTGCTCCCTACCGCTTCTATTTTTATTACAAGGAGGGAGCTGCAAGCCAGTAACTCCCTCCTTGTAAACTAAACTAATGAATGAAGAAGTCTTCGTTCATTTATTTGAAATTTCTATTCATTTATATGTCTTTTTGACAAATGAATGAATAGATGAAATTCCCATTCGCATGTGCAGGAATTTCACAGCACTATCTAGTGTTGGCAGATGACGTGTCCCTTAGGGACTTCTGTTACGGTTACCTCCAGGCTATCTGGAAGCTGGACCGCTTGGATAGTCTGGTTCCCAGGTGTGGAGAGAGAGAAGAGCCACTCCAGTCACTATAACACGCGAATCCTGTCAATGTAGATTAATCCCACTAGCTATGGTACAGCTAGGATACCCTTTTCCCCACAAAACATGTCGAGGCTGCGATTTGAGGGTCAAGAAAGAACTGGGTTTAATGGCACACAGGTATCACTATTTATGCAAAACCTCAGGTCCAGGGACAGCCCCCTCTGGACCTGATGGGATACAGGTACAATACAAGCGGTTAACCAATAGAAACACAATGTATCTTTTGAAATTGTCCAGCTTGGAGATAATGAATCCAACGGTTATGACAATGTAATTATCTCCAAGCGCCCAAAATCCCACGTTTTCTTGCAACATACAAAACAGTATAAAAATACATAACTTTAACATTTTAATAGATAATTTGTGCATTCTACCGTTCATTAGGTAGCCCAGATCTGAGCGAGGCAGATAGTCGAATAGCGCTCAGAACTCACAAACGGTATGGCTAGTCTCATCGATATAAAGTCTGTTTGTGTCTTTTGTCCCGAACATGAGACGGTGGCCATGTTTTCAGGTTGGTCAATGGGCAGCGGGACCTCGACCCCAAACTCATGGAATGAGTGGCGCACAAGGATTTACACGAATCCCCGCTCTCATGATGGTTGTCCCCACCGTTCGGGAAATAAACGGAGACCGCCGGGAAGGGGTACTTAACCTGCGGTTAACCGCAAAACCAACATTCTGATTGAGGCCACACGCCAGGATGTAGGTGGTTCTAGTTCGTGAGTCTTTTGGTAGTTTTAGTTCGGGAAATGGTGCACGAACGGGAATGCCCTGGAATCTTCAATTAAGCTGTGGTTAACCGTAGACCGGAGCTTCCTTGGCGGTTAATTAGAGGCATGCTCCGCTCGTAGGGTGGTCAGCTGTTCGGGTATTTGAAAGGTGACAGGGGTTAAGTGGCGGCACACGCCAAGGGCCGGGTGGTCCATTGTTCGTATACACGAATGGGTAACGGGAAATTTCTTCAGGGATTAGGCTACAAAGTTAAAATACCGAAACAAGGTTCCGTGTGGAAACAGAAAGGAGCAATGTTGTAACAGTTTGTAGAGCTTTTGTAACAACTTCATCTACCCATACGATGGCAGCACCCAGGGCAGAAAAAAAAGATAAAAAAATAGGTAATATGGGGTGCTTAGGGGCATTTGGAGGTGATTAGGGGGACAATTAGATGTAGTGGAGTCGGGAAGGGGGTTAAAAAAAACTGGATTCGACCATGACACTGCCACTTTAAATTGAGTGGTGAAAGCATGGTTATGCAAGTAAGTGTCGACAGACATTGGGGGAACATCGGTGTTAATTCTGCGGAGAGTCTTATGTGAGTCAAACTTAGAAATAAGCTTTGGACCTAAATGCCAGGTGATAGACTCCACTGGGTTCTCTCTGGGTAAGTCCTGCTGTCTCCCGGGTTCTACTGCACCAAGCTGCATGTCAAGACATGCTGTAGGGCTTGCTGGGTCCTCCAAGCCTGTGGCTCACCTGCCTTCAGCCTGATGGTAGTGTGAGCAGAGTCCTGATGTGAGGATGGGTCCGGTATGTACCCCTTTGCCAGCCCCGCCTCTGCATGAGCTGACCGCTTGTGCCCTCAGTTCTGATTCCAATTTTGGCCTGTAACGGGATTCCTGGCTGATGGACTGCGCTCAGGAGGGGAGTTGTGGTTCGAGGAACATCCTCTAAGGGCTCATGGGTCAGGAAGGCTTTCGTGGGGACCAGGTCCAGACCTTGGATATGGAGGACAGATAAGCCAACTTTATGTTGGAGGGAGGGCTCTACCGCTACAGTCCCAAGCGGTGAGGTGAGATGCCTCAGATTATCATGTTGCCTGCCAGCGGTGTGTGTACTTGCGCCCGTCGTGGGCCTTTGGGTCGCCATGTTGTAGACATAGTACACGTGCTCGGGCACCCAGCTTGCCCCCCGGGGAACTTGTTGTTCCATTTCATCTGCCTCCAGTAGTGTGGCATCCAGGCTGTTGAGTATAACCCCGCTTCTTCCCCGAGTAGGCCGTAGGCTCCGAAATCTCGTACCACTGGGGCCCCGAAACTCCTGATCTCTGAGTCCATGGTGGCGCCAGCTGTCTCCTGTTCACATCGGCGGGCTATTCCGCCCAATTGTCGGGCAGTTTTTCTGGCAGTTGAAGTTCAATTTAGCAAGAGCCTCAGTGCCATGGGACCGGTCAACATGGCGGTCAAGCCCCGCCCTTTCAGCTCACTTTTTAAAGTTTAGTTATTTCATCAGCACTCCAACAAAAAAAGTGAATTGTCAAGGCGGCACTTCTATGTCTAATATGTGAAATGTATATTTTTGTATTATGACCAACATTATTATTAAATCCAAAAAGGATAGTAAGTGGATGAGAGCCACATTGCAAACTTAGCAATGTGAGTAATATAGAGTAGAGGTGTATGGTGTGATCAGTGGTGTATCCTGGTTTTGTGCTGCCCTAGGCAGGACAAAACTCAGGCGCCCCCCCCGCGCTACCCTCACCCGCGCAACCGCCACCCAACCTTTCCCCCCTGCTCCACCTTCTAAATACACACACACACATTCACTGACAGATACGCATTCACTAGCTAACAGAAACCCGCACTCACTAACAGACACACACTCACTCACTCACTAACAGACACACACACTCACAGGCAAACACACACTCACTCACAGGCAAACACACACTCACTAACAGACACACGCACACACTCACTAACAGACACACACACTAACAGACACACACTAACAGACACACACTAACAGGCAAACACACACTAACAGACACACACTGACACACACACTCACTGACACACACTAACAGACACACACACACACACACTAACATACACACACACTAACAGACACACACACTAACAGACACACACACACTAACAGACACACACACACTAACAGACACACACACACACTAACAGACACACTAACAGACTAACAGACACACACACACACTAACACACTCACTTGTGTTTTTTTTATTTAACCCCCCCAGCCTCTTTACCTTTGGGAATGCTGGGGGGGGTTCTTCCTCTCCCTGGGGTCCTGGGGTCCAGTGGCTGCGGGCAGCGCTGGGCGGGCGAGGGAGCTCTTCCCCTGAGCGCTCTGCTCAGCTCCCTCGCGCGCCGCCAGCAGAGTGAGGCCGGGAGCCGGAATATCCCTATTCCGGCTCACAGCCTCACTTGGCGGCGCGCGAGGGAGCTGAGCAGACCGCTCAGGGGAAGAGCTCCCTAGCCAGCCGCCCGCCCGGCATGTCTGTTAGCCGCGAGGCTAACTAGGCATTTGCCCTGGGCATTTGGGGGCGGCTTTTTTGCCGCCCCCTGAAAAATGCCGCCTAAGGCAAATGCCTTATTTGCCTCGCGGCTAATACGCCCCTGGGTGTGATCATGTAACGTAAATAGGCCAAAACAGGGTCTTGAATAGGTTTTTTATGTAGCTTGAAAAGAGAGAAATTAGGAATCTACACCTTGAAGAATTATAAAGATTGTTTATTACAAAACAAAGTGCACAGGAGGCGCACATGTACAATTAAACTTAGAGAAAACTTAAAAGAAGGTTGTAAAACTGAGATTAATTAGAAGAACCATTTACTATACTGTGGGGAAATTCAAAAGATGTATGAAATGTATCAAAAAAAGAAAGCTCCTAGTGATCTAGAACAGTTTAAAAAATGAATATATTAGTGCCATGCACAACATTTATGAAATTACAGCAAATACATTCTAATGTCAAAAAAATACAGTGCTGAAATATTTGTTAGTTCAAACTCCGTTTTAGGAAATTAACCTGTAACTGCGTGAGATGCTAGGAAAATCTAAAAGAAGGGTTGTAAATTTTAATAAATTAGGTCATTATGTGCTGCTTATTCAAAGCATGCTGCTAAATCTAGAAGCACATAATCTTTAATATATGTTTAACCGTTATCAAACCATGTACAGAGGATGATAATACTCTAGAATGAACCGGATTTATAAAACAATATAGACAAAACTAAGAAAAGAGGCTGTCAAGCACCAGTCGATACTGAAGTATTGAGCAAGGAGAACGGTGAAGTGTTACCATGACCAAACTATCAAATAATTCTGTGATAAAGAAGGTACAGATCTCCGTGTCAGTTCAAATAACTCAAGCACTCAAAACTTACAAATAGATTATTTTTTCCTGCTTGCTTTTATTCCTTCCAACACTGACATTAGGCGTTAATGCTTTTTTGCATACTGAGGTTTCTTGGCTGTGCAGTATTACAGGATTAATGTAAGATAAAATGGTCATTATTGTGAGTTAAAGAAAACATCATAGGATGCCCTGCGTATGCTTTTTTTTTATACCTATGCTACAAATGTATATGATCTAGTTTTACTAAACAAGTCACAGTGCATCAGGTACCTGTGCTAGTTACAGGTCTACATCATCCTAAAAATCTGGTTCTTAAGGACCACGATCCCACATGAGATATCGCATACATTTACGTGTTGACTGCGTGGTTCTATAGAACTGATCATGCTAAATAAACAGGACTTTACATTTTAAGAAAAATACAACTAATGGTGAAAAAGGAGAAGACCTTCCACCAGAGTTGCAGAGGTTGTAAGATACTTAGGGCATAACCCCAAATAAACATAAAAGAGAGAAGGAATGGAAGGGTTAAATTAGAAAGACAGAACCACTTGCAGACCTAGTATCCTTAGAGAGGCTCCTCTGTCATAGATAAGTTTAAATGCCTTTGTATATTAAGAGTAAAAAGGAAGCTATACATTTTTATTAATCCCTAATTGGGCGTGTCTTATTAGGGAAAGTGGCATGTGTTGAATACGGCAGAGGGAGAAGAATTAACTCCCAAAGTGCCGAAATCTTGGGAGTAAGAGCCCTTAGTAGGGATTAAGTCATTCAATATCAAGATCTATTTCAGCACTAGATACAGACAAGTTACTTTTGTTGCATTAATGCGCATTAATGTGCAACACTTTATACAATTACTCTTAGTCTGTATGATAACTGTTTGGACGTATTTGATATAATGGTTAGTCCTATTTTAAATCACTTATTTTTTTCTTTTTATTATTATTTTTCACTATTTTGACTATTCACATTCTGTTATGTTAAAGGGAAACTCCAGTGCCAGGAAAACAATCCGTTTTCCTGGAACTGCAGGTCCCCTCTCCCTCCCACCCCCAACCCCCGGTTGCTGAAGGGGTGAAATCCCCTTCAGTAACTTACCTGAGGCAGTGACGATGTCCCACGTCGCTGCTTCTTCCTCCGCACCGCTCCTCCCTCTGATTGCATCTCGCTCCTCGAGAATGATCCTGCCCACCGGCCGGGGAGACCTAATGCGCAGTGCTAAATTGTTCAACATAAATAAAGGGAGGGTTATTTTGTACAGTTTGACCTTTATAATACAGTAAGAGCTGGCACTAAATTAAATAATTCCTTACATCCTGGAATCCAACATAATTTGGATCTACTATAAAACTTAATTGCATGGAACCGCAGCCTGTACAAAAGCTTAGAACACACATGTGTACTATTTCCTAATAAATTCCTTTGACATGCTGGTGAACACCTGCTTATAGAAGTCCCTGAGTAGCCTGGTTTATTAGTGCATTGATTAGTAGTTAGATTTTAGCAGTTATGATAATTATTTAAGTTCTATTTATCAACCAATGAGTCAGCTATGTAGAGCCTTCTGTCTGATCATAATTAGATAGATAGATAGATAGATAGATAGATAGATAGATAAATAAAATTGATCAATAGATAGATAGATAGATAAATCGATTGATCGATCAATAGATAGATAGATAAGAGAGAGATCTCTAGTAAATATTACATTCCAGCAGAAGAGATTCTTTTGTGAAGATTTATTCAAAACACAGTGGACTTCCACATGTATAGTGACTCTGTTAAACATGAAGCTTAAAAAAAAAAAAACAACAAAAAATAAAACACATTAATGCCCTGTGATAGGGTTGCTTACACTTCTTTCTCTATTTCCTCTTTTACTTATTTTATCTACTTCCTTATGCTTTCTCCTGGTCTTCGACCTTTTATAACAGTTTTGCAATAAAGAGAGACATCTATAATTTATTGATCTCAATTTTTGAGGAACAACATTTGTGTATTCTATCTAGATAATAATTTGATACATGCATACAACCATTCATATTTATAACACACAATTTTGATAGTACTAATATAATGTTTATTAATGTGTTAACTAAGACTCTTCTCTTTTTTGTCTTTTATTGTATCTCTATAGCTTGAAATCATCATAAAACGTTACATAAAATAAAATCTAGGCTGAAGTAGAATAAATTGACTGGAATAAAATGATACATTTAAATACTATTTTATAATATATAATATCATCCTGTAAGTCAAGGAAGTTTATTAGTTTAAATACAAAATCTAATAGAAAATACGTACAAATTTCAATGAGAAAATAAATGGAAAGAAAAAAGTTGCCTTTATTTCAAATTGTTAAAAAAACAAAAAACAAATTATGAATAAAAAATAATGCTGACTCTGACATGTTACACCTGTGAAAAGACTGTGTACAAACATCTAGAGAAACTGTTAAATTGTTCAACATAAATAAAGAGAGGGTTATTTTGTACAGTTTTACCTTTATAAATTGACAATTCACACTCTAGACCAGGGGTAGGCAACCTTTTAGCAGCACTGTGCTGATATAGGATTGTGATGTCCCATAGCGTGCCCGTCCTATTTTTTTTTTTTTTTAATCGAGGGGTGTATGCTGCCGTATTCTGCTTGTGTTATTTATACTGTAATTGCTTTGTATCGTTGTATTTGTGCGTATATGCAGGGCCATCTTTAATAGTGACTGGACCCTGGGCAAAGCATTTGCTTGGGGT